ATTTTTTGGTTGCAGCCATCATTGTTGTTTGGCGGGTCCAGGCTGGGGATTCAAACCCACCACCTTAGGTGTATGTGGCTGGCACCTTAGCTGCTTGAGCCGCAGGCGCCGAGCCTAGACTTTACTTTTTAGAGCAATTTTAGGTTTACAGAAAGTACAAGTTCCCATGTACCCCCTGCCCTCAGTTTCCTCTGTTGTCCACATCTTGCCTTGGTGTGGTATGTGTGTTGCAGCTGGTATACTGAGGCTATGTCACTACTGTGTACCTTAGCACTAGCTCTAGCCCTGGATTACATTCGGGGCTTCCCCTGTGTGCTAGACGGCCTCCTCTTATTGTGTCCACTCCTAGAGAGCCTGGAAAAAGGCTTATCCTCTGTTGGTTTTATATTCTCTCCAGAGTTTAAAGAAACCCATTATCCCAAAAGAATTTGGGGGCAAAGTCCCCACCGTCATCCGGCAGCGCTATCTCAACCTGTTCATCGAGGAATGTCTCAAATTCTGTGCCTCCAACCAGGAGGCCATAGAGAAGGTGGGCTCCCTGGGGCTGGGCTGGTTGGCTAGGTATGGGGTCGGGAGCAGACCAGGGTGGTCACCAGATGTCTCCCTGGTCGTGGTGTCTCAGCCCCAGAGCTGCCTGTGGGAGATGCCAGTTGACCCCACTATCGGGGCTTCCAGTGCCAATCTGTTGGGGCCTCAGCTGAGCACATTGTGTCCTCCCCAGGCACTGAATGAGGAGAAGGTAGCCTATGACCGCAGTCCCAGCAAGAACATCTACCTGAACGTGGCCGTGAACACCCTAAAGAAACTTCGAGGCCTGGTCCCCAGTGCTGTGCCTGGACTCAACAGTGAGTACAGCAAGGCAGGGGTAGGGTGTGCATAGACAGCATCCAGGCCTGCACCCCTGCAGGTATGACAGGCTCCCCCACAGGGACCCTGAGTCTTGTGAGAGTCTCAGACAAAAAGTACCACAGAAGCCCAGCGTGGACTGGGGTCTTTGTTGGCTCCTTGGCACTTGGGCTTCTGTAGCAGATGGAGTTGGCCCCAGTACCCTCAGAGCAGCCTCTTCTCTCTATTAGCCACCCTCCTTTGTGAGCTGGGGGCTGTTAATGGAGCTGCTAGCGGCCTCTTCAAAGCAAGAGGCTTGGGGCTGCGTGAGCTCTGTGCATTAAGCTCTGGGGAGGAAGAAAGAACGGGGTTAAGGCATTTCGTTACTGCCTCTTGAGAGGGTGCATTAAGCCATCAGTGCCCATCCTGAGTGCCAGCTCTGCCTCCCTGCCCCCGCCTCCCATTAGCTGCTTGCTGGTGTTCAGAGGGCCCCTATGCAGGCTTTGCATCCCAGGCAGCCTGCAGCAGCACAAAGCCCTCAAAGCCATTAGGTTTCCATCTAGTTGTTCTAGCTTTTTCCCCCTTCCCCTCAGAGGGAGTGAAAGCTTCACCTACAGGGAAAGTAGGGGTTGGGGCCACACCTGTGGGGGCTGCCCTAGATCCCTCTGCTCTGTACCCCCAGCAGGCCTTTTCTGATTTTGGTTGAGACCTGACCCCAAGGGCAGTGGTCTTGGAAAGGGGGGCTGGGTAGCAGGGCCAGGTGAGCGAGCAAGCTGGGGGCTGAGGGGTCTAAGCCTGTATAGTTCACCCTCCCTCCCTTTTCCTCCTCCACTTCCCCTTCCAGAAACCAGTGGCCGGAGGGTTGTGTCACACGAGGTAGTGTTAGGGGGCAAGTTGGCTGCCAAGACCAGCTTCTCACTCAGCCGCCCCAGCAGCCCCCGCGTGGAAGACCTAAAAGGTGAGGTAGCAGTGCCAGCCCTCTTGCCCCTCCTGCCCCTCCTGTCCCTCCTGTCCCTCCTGTCCCTCCTGTCTCCTCCTGTGCCCTGGCCCAGACTGCCTTTCTACCAGGGTGGTCACAGGCAGTAGCTGGTAGCCACCACTGGCCCTCGAGGCTGAGTAGCCTCTTCCCTCCTGCATGTGTGCAGTGGGCTATCCCCAGACAGCAGATGATAGCCTCTCGTGTTCTTCCATAGGGGCTGCCCTGTACAGCCGCCTGAGGGAGTACCTGCTCACTGAGGACCAGCTCAAGGAGAATGGCTACCCCTTCCCGCACCCAGAGCGGCCGGGGGGTGCTGTCATCTTCACAGCGGAAGAGAAGAAGCCCAAGGACTGTGAGTGGCCTCCTAACATTTCTGTGCTCTGGCAGAGGGAAGGGCATCTGGGCAGAGTGAACAGCCTGAGTGGGTAGGCACAGAGGTCAGGTGGAACTGGGCTGTAGGGCACCTGGGTGCCAGCCTGACACCGCCTCTCCACAGCCTCCTGCAGGATCTGCTGCCGCTGTGGTGCTGAGTACCTTGTGTCCTCCTCTGGCCGCTGTGTCCGAGATGAGGAGTGTTATTACCATTGGGGGCGTCTCCGCCGGAACCGAGGTGAGGCCTGAGAACCCCTGCCTACCTGGCTGGACCCAAGTTAGCCTGGTGGAGGCACCAGCAGGTCCCAGGCTACCTGGAAGGCGCCCCCATGGGTCCCTGGGATGAGCTATCTAGGGCTTGGGAGCAGGCTAGGCCAGGCCCTGTGACTGGTATGTCTCTTGCAGTGGCTGGAGGCTGGGAGACCCAGTACATGTGCTGCTCAGCTGCCACTGGCTCTGTCGGCTGTCAGGTTGCAAAGGTAAGTTCCAAGGCCCTGGTGCCCTCTCTGCTCTCTCTTGACAAACTTCTACCTGTTCTTCATTGTTCAAGCTTGGGACACAGCAGAGTCCTGGACTCAGGTCCCAGCCATGTGGCTCCAGCCAGCCCTCCACATGTCTTCCCCAGAGCGTGGGTCCCACCCTGCTTCCTGGGACACTTTCCTGCCCTGGGTCCCTGGAGGCCTTCTTGGCAATCTCCTGTCTTAGACTTCCCAGCCTTCCTTTTCTCATCTATAAATGGGATGAATGAATAGGACAGTTCCCATCAAATCCCTCTGGCAGCATGAAGTTGTGATGTCAGTTCCCCATTGCAGCCCCTCAGCTGCCCCTCACTCCACTTCTCCTCACCCTCAGCAACATGTGCAAGATGGCCGGAAGGAAAGCCTTGAAGGTTTTGTGAAGACCTTTGAGAAGGAACTCTCAGAAGATGCCCACCCAGGAATCTATGCCCTAGACTGTGAGATGGTTAGTCCACCTCTTCATCTTAGCCAAGCCAGGGTTGCCCAGGTGACCATGGTCCTTACTGAATGCTTAGGCCCTGGGGACTGAGGGCCCCACGCAGGGTTAGGGTAAGAGACAGAGTTAGGCCCACTGAGTTCAGTCCCCCTTGTGCTTGGAAGCAGTGAAGGCCAATTGGGGAGGGGTTCCTTAAATTCACACTCTGTTCTTCTGGAAGCTCCTTCAGAAACTTAGAAGGCCTCTGGCCTCAGTTCCATATCTGCAAGTGGGGCCAGACTCTGGGACCAGTAGCAGCTTGTCCTTGCATTTGAAGTCCTTCAGTGCTAGGGGAGGGAGGGAGGGCTGGTGAGTCTGGCGTGGCTCGGCCACATCTAGGCCGTTCGTCTTGTCACCTAGTCTTACACCACGTATGGCCTGGAGCTGACCCGTGTCACGGTGGTCAACACAGAGATGCAGGTGGTTTATGACACCTTCGTCAAGCCTGACAACGAGATTGTCGACTACAACACCAGGTGTGGCTCTGGGCCCTCTGGGAGCTGGAACCCCAGAGCCCCTCCCTGCCAGGGTCCACCCTCAGGGCTTAGCCCTAATGGGCTCTGGTCCTTTTCTGACTCAGGTTTTCTGGAGTGACAGAGGCTGACCTTGCTGATACGAGCATCACACTACGGGATGTGCAGGCTGTCCTGCTGAGCATGTTCAGTGCAGACACTATCCTCATTGGACACAGCCTGGAGAGCGACCTGCTGGCCCTGAAGGTAGTCTTTGCCTTCCTCTGCCCCACCGGTGGCTTTCAAATGGCTCTAGGCCCTATGAGATGGAGGGGATGGGGTGGGGGGGATAGGGCTGGGTGCGGGGGATAGAGCTGCCCCAGGCCCTGACCACAGCCTTAAGTGGCACCTCTCACCCACAGGTCATCCACAGCACTGTGGTGGACACGTCCGTGCTCTTCCCCCACCGTCTGGGCCTCCCCTACAAGCGCTCCCTGCGAAATCTCATGGCCGACTACCTCAGACAGATCATCCAGGACAATGGTGAGTGGCAGGTCGGTGGAGCTAGGGCAGAATGGTAACCATGTCGGCCCCAGTGGATAGGCACAGCTCCAGTGAGGACCCTCATCCCCTTGTGCCAGGACAGGGTGGTGATCATGTGTGTTCCCAGTGGATGGGCACAGCCATAGGTGAGAGGCTCTCCATCCCTGGGACCAGGGCAAGGTAGTGACTTTGTCTGCCCCCTAGTGGATGGGCACAGCTCCAGTGAGGACGCCGGCGCCTGCATGCACCTGGTGATCTGGAAGGTCCGAGAAGACGCCAAGACCAAGCGATGACTCCCACCCACCCGCCTCTCCTGCTGCCCCGGCCCATCCTTAGTCCCAGGCCTCTTCCAAAACAGTGCAATAAATCTCGAGAGCTAACCCTGTCCACCTCACCAAGACACGGAAAACCGAGAGAAACGGGACGAACTGGTGGCACAAGAGAACAAAAAGCTGAGACCAACCCTGGAGCCCTGACCCTGCCATGGCCCCTCTCACCTGTCCCTCTTCTTTCCCCTTCCCAGGCTCTGTCCTCTCTGTGAAACTGCTGCTGACCCGACTGGCCCTACCTGCTCCTCCCAGCCCCCCCAGCCAGGTCCAAGTCCTGTGTCCTCCTTACTTGTGTTGGGTGGGGGTGGGCAGACAGGGTATGTCGTGGATTTGTCTGAGACAGGCGATATCTTTTTTTTTTTAATTTTGTATTGTTATTTTTATTATTTTAAATTTAAACCTGACAACTTGCACAGTGACTGTCCTCACCTCGGGGGCATGGCCCACTGCTGCCTTCCCTCCTAGGAGCTAGGGATAAACCTGAGCCAGACCCAAGTCTGGCCCCAGGGGTCAAACCTGGCCCAGTGTGGGCCTGGACTTCTAGGCTCTAGAGGGCTGAGTCTGCCTTTGGGTGGCTGGCTTCTAGAACTTGCCACCACCCCCTACCCCAACTTCTGGGACCTTTCAAAACCAAGCCAGGCCCTAGGGTCTGTAGCCTTGGACATTGTCTTCCCGAGGAACACTGTCCTCTGTGGGGCTCCTATCTCCTCTCCTCCCCCACCCCTGGGCAGGGACAGAATAAATGTTTGTATGGATTTTAGATATCACAGCTGTGGTGGTGTTCTTGGTGCCAAGTAATAGTTCTGCATGCACCTGTGGAGGCCACTGTCACTGTGGCCAAGACCAACTCTTCGCTGCCAACATGGGGAAACAGAAATGGAACCTTGTTCACTTTCAAAAAACAAGCCCTGGATCCCTGAGTGGCCACACCTTTGTATGTAGCCTGTCAGTTTCCAGTCCCTCTCTGAGGGACAGTGGGTGGTATCCCTGCACAGGGTGTGAGGCAAGCTGGGCTTGACTCTGGGATTGGAGTTAGCCTGCCTGGGATAGGGGATGTTGAGCAGGAGACCAGGAGGGCAGCTGCATGTTAGGTGCCTATCCAGAGCTGCCCTGTCACCCTCTAGCAAAAGCCACGAAGCTTGCAATGCATGCAGCTCCAAGCAACCTCAGCTCATTTGTATATTGTTCTGGCTTGTTGAGGGTGGAAGACCCAGGGTTTTTAGGCCCACAATTTCTTTTTTTTTTTTTTTTTTTTTTGAGACAGAGCCTCAAGCT